CATTTGATGGTGACTTGTGCTATGGGCTTGAAGTAGGCCTCCAGTGTTGTACGCCACATCCCCATTGAGTTCCTGTTGATCTTGTACAATTCTAGGCATTCCAGGATCCAGGTGTGGGGCATCCAGTCATAGGCCTTCTTGTAGTTAATCCAGGCAGCGCACAGGTTGGTGAACCTGGTCTTGCAGTCTTGGGCGATTGTTCCATCCACCAGTAGCTGGTGTTTCACTCCTCCGGTATACTTGCCAAGTCATTTCTGTGTCCCACTCATGTTAGCCACTGTGATGCCCGACAGGAGCTTCCATGTGGTAGTTGGAGATATATATATTGAAATATTTAGCTGCCGTGGAATCACAATGTATAAAGTTATTGTAGCACATCTATCAGAGTGTTTTGACTGTTTTTCCTTTACAGACTTGTTCTTTAAATAATTAACTGTAACAAATTAACATCAACTTTATACCCAAACAACAACAAAAATGAAGCGATGCAGTAATTTACATATTTTAATGAAAATAAACATAAACATTGGCATTTTAACAGTGTATGGTCTTTATCCTTTACAAAATATCTTATAAATATTACAATACACACATTTCCTTCACTTGTGCAATGGAAGTATTTGAGCTCAGCTTCCTCATACAAAGAATATTTACCTTAGTTGCAAATCAATTCAATGCAACACGTCTTAACTAGTCTCGCCTCTTTATTTCAACTGTGTTGGATCATTAAATGTATTTATGCAAAAGTAGCAACATAAAAATATTTCTGTGGCTTTAACTTATGTGATGCCCCGACTGCAACGCTGCTGAACTGCTGCGTGCTTCGTCTGTGTTGTCAACAAAAATTACAATTTTTTTTTTTAAGTTAACAGAGAACTTAGAAGGTAAAAAAGGTAAATATAAACAAAAAAACACTTGGTAAATATTTCCCTTTACAGCACCGCAGTGCTCGAAGAATAATAAAATGATAGTGAGCACTCAACAAACTAAATACAAAATGTTAATGTGACATTTAAATAACAGTGACAGGTAAAAATTTTTATTGTGGCACATTAGAGGTAAACGCACGGAGGAAGAGAAGGAGGATGACAGAATAAAAGCTGCATAGAGTCAATATCACAAATCTCTAATGTAGAGAAGATGATTTTGGAAGCTCGCGCGCTGTTTCTACTCTCAAGCAGATTCTTAACTTTTGTTTTGAACATTTTTCTGACTTCATCAGTGCTGCTGTTTACTGCTGTGTTCCACATCCTGTTAGCTACGTATGAAGAATTGAAGCATCTCAGTGCAAATCACTGAGTGTGAATTCTTCCTCACTGTCTGTAAAACATCATGTAACACACGTCTTTACTGGAGCAGTCCGATGTCAGCAAATTATACATCTTAATGCTTTTGCTGGTTAAACTCAATGAGCAGACTGATTTTATTTGGGTAGTTTGTCACAGTGAACGTCACATTGGTTCCATGTTAGTCTAAGTTGACTCCAGGCTCATGTGTGAAATAATTCTTCATATAAAAATAAACACATTTAACCCTCACTTGATGCTACTCCAGTGTTGTTTACATCCTGTTTGTAAATTTATTAAAATACGATGGATTGAAAAACTCAAAGATTTCAAATTGAATTAACAAGCAGCATTCACTGCTTCTTATAATAACGCAGCACCACTGGCTGCGCAGTCTGTCTGCCCACAGCTGTTCACATGTGTACTAAACACACACACGGCATGCACGGCTGCAGTCACACACACCACTTACACATGATATTAACATGAAGCCTCTGGGATCAGATCAATCTTATTAGAAAATAACATTTACGGGTGAACGCAGTCTTAAAAGCACATGAACTTCGAGTTAGAAAGACAAACTTTTGCTAATTCAGGACAATAAGAGCTACGGGTATGAGCAGATAAAGTTTTAGACTTTTCCAAAAACCAAACGGATCGTATCCAAAGTCTGAGAAGTTTACTGGGACTCTTTGGGGTCTTATAGCAGAACCCTGGTCCAAACTCATTCGGCTCTCCTGCTCTGACATCTATAAAACTCAAGTCCATAAACACACGAAGGAAAACAAGATGAGTGGAAGAACGTGGAAATCTCAGGATGAACAATCATGATTCCAACATTATCTGGTGAGAGGATAAAACACCTGCAGGTTCAAAGGAGACACGATTCTTCATCCACAGGATTATTAGTAATAAATTATTATCAGGCAGTTTTTAAATACACATCATTACAATAAGTTACTTTAAATGTAGAAAAATATTATATACCGTTGTTACTTGGTGATAAAATAAAGTCTGAGGACTGTGATGCTAAAAGGCAAAGTGCAAAAACAACTGAGGCTCAACAGGAAG